ATCCAAATCCAAAGTAATCTTTCTGTCAGCAACTGATATAGAATTTTTCCTCGGGCAGGGGGGAGCCCGGATAAAGCTGACCATGGGAGGTTGACGGCGCGAGGGGATGAGATGGATGAAAAGAGGCATTATTTACATGCTTTGGGCACTGTTCGGCTCGCTTTCAGCTCTCCTGGCTCCATGAACCGCACTGGATGCCCAACATGATGTCGGTCTTGTTAAACCATTTAGTCGACACTTCCTTAAATGTGAATTCCGTGTACGTGTACTGATGTACTCGCTATTCCCCCCTCTTGCTCGCCGGCCGCGTCCACCGTTGGAGGGATCATAAAGACCTCGTCGCTCTGGCATTTCCCGGCGTGCCTTTTCATCGCCAGCTTTTAATAATGCTAGCCCACCCAATAATTTTCATCACTCCAATGCACGCATTAGCAGCAACATTCGTTTCAATGCACGCGTTAAAAACAACATTCTTTCCAGAGTGTTCCCAGCGAATCTCAGAGCTTCCCCATAAGAAACCGTTTCCAATATACTGTATGTCAGAAATATAAAGATTTGATTTTTTGAGCAGCAAATATGAATTTAACGCGTCAAAGATCCCGTGCGAGGAAACGTTTGTGAGGCATTTTAGGAATGGATTGAGCTTCCGAGAAAGTCGGTGATGTAACTTCAGAAGATCATTGATGAGTACTACTGTATATTTATTTTGTCCTTCGTACTTGCGTCGCCTGAATATTATTCTTGATTAAATTCATTAATTCAATATCATGCCCTTTTTAGCAACAAGTTTTTCTTCGTTCAAGTAGAATCCCAAGCAGGATCTCAGCGTTTCAAAGGACTTTCGTCCATCCTACCGAAGGAATAATTATGAATTTTAAAACCATCAAGCAATATAAGCATTGCGATATAGATCCTCGAATATATGTCCCTTGATTAGCGGTACAAAACATTTGATTTACCTTTTGCCCAAATTTTGGATTTTTCGGGAGATTAAGTGGCAAGTTTAATTTTATTTTAATCCACTTCGCTTATTTCGATTTCAGAATACTGTATATAGAAAAAAATATCTTACAAGCAGTATACATGAGTTAAACAGGTCAGACTTTTTTCTGGGAAAAGTCCATATGCTGATGGATTTTGGGAACTGTACTGAACTTTCCAGAATTTCGGTCAAGTAACTTTACTTCTTTCACAAGTATTTATTCAGATCTTGAATATATAAATGAATTTCCCCTTTTTAATTGGATTTAATTTTTTGAGCGAAGACATCAGCCCGAATAATGCAATTTTAAATGCTGGGCGATGCCTAGAAAGGTTATTCATAGAAAGTAAATCAGACTAGACCGTGTAGACTAAACGCAATTAGAGAAACTCACTTTCAGCATTTCCAGGTATCGAGTTTGCTGAAGAAAAAAAAAAGATCCAGGGGGTTGAGACTTCATGGAAGGATTAAATTTAATCGCGAAAGTATTTAGGCAGAGAGTTGTCCGGATTTCACAGACTATGACAAGGAACATGCGCATGAAAAACTTCACGAGTGATGTACATTTAAATTGAAAGGAAAATGTCTTTTGACTGTCAACGGCAGAAGAGAATATAGTTCCGAATGTGGATTGAGGATCATGAAAAGCCCTTATGGATTAACCCGGGATCCAGCGAAAATCGAGGAGCACCGGGAAGTGCGGCACATGATGAGGAAAATTCTGCTGTTGGACGCAACTTCGACCTCAATCCAGGTTGAATAGGATACGCGCATTGCTGCAACGGATCCAGTTCATCGACAGCTGAACTCGGAATATCCCTTCCCTGTCCGAAAACTCAATATTTTTGTGTTGCATCGGGTAAATTTCACAATGGCCCAACTTCTGTGGGAATTACAGAACTATCCGGTGCGCTCTTAACGCAGAAAAATCCTTTGCTGAGCCGCGGCTCAGCGTGGAAGTTTTTAATCTCTCTACTCTGGCACGCGTTTCAGTGAATTCTCTACCTTGCCTTGAAATGGCTTCTTCCATGGGATGAACCGATTTTTGCTCGGAATTCCCCAGCGAAATTCTCGGGAAATTTTGCTGGTCGAGTACTGGACTCAAAAAATGATCACCGTCGTTAAACTTGTTCAACATCATGATCAGCAATGGCCAGTGGTCAGCGGCGGTTAAACGGATCGTAAACTTTCAACATTACTGCAGGTTTCTCTCAGTTAATTCAGGAAATGACTCCGTCGGAATGCAAATCTGTCGACTCACATTTCCAGGGCAATTCGAATGATCATTCGATTGGTAGATTTGTATGCATTTATATGCATGCAAATGAAAGTTCTAGCCGCTCATTAGTCTTCTACATGTTTACTCAACCCCTTGATGAGAAAAACTGCGCTACCTGTATGAGCTTATTCATACAGTGGAACCTCCATGATCCAGTTTAATAAACACTTCTTCTTCTGGATATATAGTAATTAAGCGTCTTGGATGATCAAAAGAGCGAAATATTTTGTCAACAATTCGATGCAATTTTATCAAGCGTTCTTCTAATCTCGTTGAAAATAATTCTTCAGACTCCTCCAGCACCATGTACAAAAATAATGCACGGCTAATGATGAATCTGTGATTGCATTTATATGCATACAGGGTTTAGCTGCCGGAATATACTGTACTAGTGTACTGTATACCCTTTGGTCCTAAATGTGTGAAATTGATGAACCATCGTCAACCTCATGCAGTCAATGTCGAAGTGAGTAATCGAGGATCCACGGTACGCTGGGCGACTATATCTCCATTGATGTTTTAATCGTCAATCAAGGCAATACAGTATATTGTTTTTATACCTATGGGAAATGCTTTGCTTTCCGATAACGGGGCTGCAGCTGGGCATTAATTGTTTTACAATCCTACATAACAGCGAAGTAAAATAACTTCAAGGCCTTTATACAGGACACGGCATCATACTTTTCTGCAAATCTTTGTGCGTGATGTCGACGATTTTGAAGATGGCGATAAATACGAGGTCTGCCCCTCGAAAGAAGGAGGAGAAGGGAGAACAAGAAAAAAGAAGTGAAAATCGTCGTCATCAACTCGGAAGTTCAAGGGTATTGTGTGTTATTCAGAGCTTCGCAGACGCTCATTATGAACAGCATTTAATCCTTAAGAATAAATGCGACAAGGCAAAATAACGTGCTGATCCAGAACGAAGCGCGTCATCAATGCTGATGAGTGATGAGTATACACCAAGCCTGCATTTGTATGCAGCAATAGCCCGTTCTGTTGCTGTAGATCAGTTTCTCACGAAGTATACGGCTATAGACAGAGCATATACACTCTGATGGTGTCCACATGCACATACTAGGTCAAAACACGCATGGTACTTTTTTCAAAGCACAGCTCTACACAATTCTAGAACAATTCTGCAGCTGCATTAATTGGACAAGTATTTACTATAACATACGCACTGTACATATTTACTGCATATATGACAACATAGATGATAAGCGAAGTTTCTTTTTGCAACATATCTAAATTTCAGAGAATATACAAGTACATACACATGCACAGCCGACATATTGCACATCGACAGTAATAAGCGATAGATCTTATTCATAACGTGTATTATTATACTTTTTTTTCATAAATTTCATAAATCAACTTAATCACTGTAATACGTTGTACTGATTGTACTTACTACAGTACTTAGAAATCCTCAAACACCGCATGAAGCCAGGCTTTTGTTGAAGTTGGTCACATATACAGTACTGTACTATAAAAGAACAGCAACCGAAGTCCTATATACACAGTCACTTTCGATCGCAAATCTCACACAATCCAAAATCGTAGGTGCTTTCAAATTCAATTGAAATACACGCGCCTCGTTATTAACCCTCCATTATCCCAATAAGTAAGATGACAGCAATGATCAGGTACTTCATTGCTGGTTGGCTATACTGAATACAGTACTCCTATATATACGTTATGACCAGCAATGGTCATATGCAGATGAAATCTTCTAACGAATACTGTACTGTAATACTCCAATATACAGTACAATGTACTGTAAATTGACCCGAAAATTCGCGAAAAGGAAGAACTATAGCTTCAGAAATTAGTCCGAAATTTTTCTAAAATACGAAGTAACTTTTGTTGAATAGCCAAAGATTTTTCCTAGAAAATTCTGAATGCTTGGGAATGAGTTTTTCTGCGAAAGAAAATTCATCATCACGGTTAGATACGTAGTACTGTATATGATGTGTGCGCAGTGCAGTATTGTATTCTACATGGTTTGCAGCAGTAAGTTGAAAAAAATCTCATCTTGTGGATAAAATAAAATCGTAATAGGGCAATCTATTATCCGCACAATGAAATCTATCTCAATTCTTGAATTCAGAAATATCATCAGGATACTGCCTAGCATACAATCCAGGCATGATAAGCTAGCCATGTCACTAAAAACCCTTGGCTTACCTGTACACAATTGTACCCCAACGCCACTAAAAAAACCGGTGGCATGGCTGTACACATTTGCGCAGCCAAACCACTGAAAAACCCTATGCTTTACACAACTGCACCGCCAAAAAATCTGTGGTGAAGCTGTACATAATTGTTTAGTTAAGCCAGTAAAAATGAAAAATGGCACAGCCTGCATACAAGACACACCATTAAAAAAAAAGCACGACCTGGGTGGACAAAATAGAAAAATGCCCCAGTTTTGGTAACACATTATGGGCGACCCTCACCCATTTGCTATGGGTTCATTCGCTGGGTGCAAGGCAGATATGGATACTCCATGCGCAATTTTCATCACATAAATGGTAAGATAACGACATCTGCACATTCAAATGGGAAAATCCACCCCAGCAACTCATCGCTGACATAGGTGTGCCTCATGATGTCCATCACCCAGCACTCGAGTGCCCATGTACTGTATGCATCCCGCATGCATTTTTGCCTGTTCACTTTATGAATTTGACCAGAAGAACGCTACCCTCACAGTTCTAGAAATAAACGAACAAGCGATTCCATCGTGACATCGAAACCCCACACAGGAATCGTGTCTTAACTTTATTCTAGAATGAATTCAGGTATCTGCCAGAAATCAACAACAAAATCCTGCCGCACCTGGTTTATCCCATAAATTTCATTCCAATGCCGTCCGACTGACGGACAAGTTCAGAGATTGCCGTGCCTGAAAATACCGTCCAATATTCTCATACAGCATACAAAAATAAAAAATAAAATCAATCCCACGCCAAAAAAAAAAACAACAAAATGCATCGCGAGCGAAAATCCAAGCGGACGACAGTCGGAGAACGCGTACAGCTGAAGTGACCGCAGTGAATACGGGCAAAAAATATAAAAGCGAAACGTAAGCGTAGATCATCACCTGTACATGAGACATCGGGATACAATGCACGGCCATCGACGAGTCTGCTTTTTGCTCCAACACAATACCACACAGGAACCGAGTTCCTGGTTATTCACTCTCGCATTCGACGGCAACGCGGGCAGGACATAAAAATATAAACGAGGTAGGACGGAAATCCTGATTTGGCACGTTTGCAAATGGCGTTTGCACGAAAAGTTGCGTAATCTTCCAGTTCAAAAACGCAAAAAGGTAAAAAAGCACAGCATGCAACTCTTACACATTCTAGTTTCCTTGTACGATAGTGGTACATAACAAAATGCTTTATTCTAAAAGGGGCGGCTTTTTCGGTGTACGGGTCACGTGCTGGTCGGTAAGCAATACGTCACCACTCACGCGGATACGTTCTAAAATAAACTTTTTATGGACTCAGTTTCACATTTCACTGGATGCTCCAGAAAAATACTCAACACTTGGATACACTACGAGCATTCCTTCTGAAGGCCGACAAAGGCACGTGGTACAGCGGTAATGTTGATTCCAGTTTCACTTACATGCACTGATGAACAATGCCAATTATAGGATTCAGTTTAAAACCGGAACCGTAGGAATTGCATGGGAATTTCGTCTGTTTCACTCCGACCAACAGAATGCTTGCGACACCGAAAAATAGTCGACTCCTACGCAGCTTTTTCTCGTTCAAAGCCGCGGACGGGAAACGTTCGAATTAATAAGCGCATTGTACAGACTTCACAGGCGTGCAGAAAGGGCGGCGTCGAGATTTACGTCGCCCTATTCCGCGGCATGGACTGGACCCGCGTGGTTCCGCAGCCGGGTGGCGCCTGAGTCGGCAGTGTGTGGAAGTTCGGTACAGGCGGAGCTGGTTGCTGTGGACGCGCTTCCATGGTGATGGGTTGCTTCTGCCGGGACGGCGTGATGTTGTACGAGTTCTTGCCGTATTTCGCAAAAGGCAGTAGAAGGGAATGACTTTTCCGCGACGACGGCGGGACCACAGACCGCTGGACGGGAGGAGGTGGTGGCGGTAAAGGCGGCAGTGGGCGATTCGCTGGGCCAGCCGGGAATTTGCTTTTCGCCTGGTCCGGCGGACGCGGTGCTGGCGCGCTAGATGTCGCAGGTGCGGCGGGCTTTGCTGGTGTCGCACCCGAGGTCGAAGATCGTTGGAACGAAGTCAGCAAAGCAGATATTAAAGGCAGGTCCCCGCTTTTGCTATGCTCCTCCAGTCGGGTCATGTCCATCACACTCAGTCCCAATGGACCCGTATTTTGTTGTTGCAAATTCTGAAAAAAAAGACGAAGTTATATAGAATCATTAAAATTTCACCGACCGCATGAAACACGGCGACAATGAGGAGGTTGTGTTCGATTTCGAGTGTTCAACAGATCATCGTGTAAGGAGAAACGTGAAATCAATGAAATTTGAATATTCTGGACTAACTTTCTCGCAAGTTCCATCTTTAGAAACCTATTGCATATCTTCTACGGTTCCCACGACTTCAGATGTACAGAACTTTACTTCTGGATTAGTTTCCCCAACGTTAGAACAAACTTTTCTGTCTTTTTCATTAAAATGGAATTCCTCGATTTTCTTTTATTCGCGGATAATACTTTCGAACATCAATTGAGGACCGTTCCAAAGATCAAATAAATAGAGAGAGTCCAAGTGTCAATTCCACGCCTTAGGAGTTTACATCCCTTAGGAATGTAATTTAATTTTCCTCGAGTTAGACATCAGAAGCATCTAATACAGGTTTCTCTCTATACAACGAAATTCAGGGGACCAGAAAAATAATTCATCGTAGAGAACCCCTATGAAAACCCAACATGGCCAAAAACTCTTTATACAGAGAAAATCGTTGTCAACAAGATTATTATAGTCTCACTGCACAAAAAAATATTCATTCATATTTGGCAGCGGAGCGCTTGAGAAGTGGACGTGCTGAGCACAGTTGAGAATATCGGCCCTACTCGCTGACCTTTATCAAACCCTCGTCTTATAAGTAGGATTTTCAGGTTCAATTGCAGCGAATCGCAACCGTTCTCAATAACCTAATTTTCGGAACTTCGAAATGTCGAAGAATACGAAGGTAACTTACCGGTTTCGAATCCGGTCCGGCGAGATTATCGGTGGACTGGGCTTTCTGCGCGAGAGAACAAGCCGTTCCATAGTGCAGTGGGGGACGAATGGTTTCATACGTATCAGAGCTGGCTTTTCCACCAACACTTTGATAGGGTTGCAAGGAGTGCGCAGTTCCGTGCCCATTGGCCCCCAGAATTCTTGTCAGACGATTCGGTCTCGCCTGGATAGCCTCGTAATACGTGTCAGAATTGGCAGCCGGAGCATAGCACGATGAGCTCAAACTAAGGCTGTGTCTCCCTGAAGATGGACCATAACCCGAGTCGGACGCACCCGCAGGCACTGGATGCATATGGTAGCCGTAGCATGGCACTGTCTGGTACGTTAAACTACCATACGTCGTGCTTCCTGCAGACAGAGACTGGTAAACGCCACCTCCAGCGCTGCTCGTGCTATAACAGCATGCACAGTTCCCTTGCTGGGCTTCAAGCGCGATTCTACTGGCGCACTTGGCGTCCATGTATTCCTGTCGGCTTAATTCGGGGTCTTTGTCCGGATAAATCACATAATCCACATCAGAGCACAACTGCGCTTGGAATTCAGACATCTGAGACTGGTTAGATTCCAGCAGGCACGGCGTGGAAGCACATGTAGACGCGTAGCTCTTCTGCTTGAGCTTGTTTCGCGTGGAGAGGGAAGTGAACCAATCCATCTGCAGCGTCGAGGCGTGAACGTTCAAGTAATTGTTCACCCCGACAAAAGGCAGGTTATCACACGAGGTCGTTGGTGGTTGCGGCGGTGGAGGAGGTGGGGGAGGGTGCGGAAGAGTTGGAATCGGTGGCGGAGGCGGCAACGAGCTCCAGTTTTGTTGCGCGCAGCATGTTGATCCCGATTTGGAGCTCACAATAGTAGGCCTGGCGAAGGAAGGAAACGCACTGGAAACACTCGTAGTGTGCGCCGTTAACACGTTGATTTTCGTTTTCGAACTTATGAAAACAGCTTCTTCGGCTTTGTCTTGGGCCTGGGTCTGAGTGACTCGTTTTGCAACCCGGCGCAAAGACTTAAACAGCAACCACGAAGAGCTTGAAGAACTTAACGAGGATTTCCTCGGTCCTGATTTTGGCGGCAAGGGGGGTGGAGGGGATCTCGATGTTTCCATGTACCTGGGAAGTGGGTACTGCCAAGCTTTGTCTTCGGGTGTGTCAGCCAAATCCAACTTCTCATCAATCACAAACTCTTCCGGCGCGTCCGGATCATCTTGCTCCAACACCTTGTCTTCTTGCTCTTGCTTCACGTTGACTTCCTTTGGCTCCTCCAATTTTATTTCTTCTTTGCCGCTCGTTTTTAGGTCGACGTTTTGCGGCGACTCCTCGTCTTGAAACTCGTTGAATTCGTAGAGGTCGAAGAAGTCTACATAGTTGTCAGTCGGACTCCTGAAAAATTCCAGAAAATTATCACATAAGTAAGAAATTACAAGGGTCAGTGCCGCTCGTTCAGTAGAAGCAAATCCTACAAAAACTACCAGGGGTGTCTGGTTCTCACGCATTATTTCAAGCTTAAGAGGAGAAGTTAATAAATTCAGATGGTCAAATTTTTCTGAATCGATGTAAGGATAACATTCTGTCTTAAAAATTTTAAATACATTTTTACACACACTCGATTTCTCTACCATAAAAAAAGTAAAATAAAAATTTGCCGACAGCTCTGATTGATGCCTCTAAAATATCGACCGTTTCGGCCTTCGCAGGTGGCATTGGAGGTTCAGAAGTGCTCATTCTACGAAGAAAGAAGTGCCAAAATTGGCATTTGGGGAATGTTCGATTCTCGGATCTAGACAGCTCAGAAATGCGTCTACGTGACTCCCTCAATGTATTTCTGAGGAAGGTGAAGAAAGAAAATTAATACAATTCTGAAGTTAATTTATAACACTTTTTTTCTCAACGGCGCGAGAAAATTAGACACCCATCTTAATTGTGTAAGCAGGCTATATAAAGAGATTCGATGATTTCCACAGCAGTTTCAACGTCGAAAATCACCTCGTCTCGGAGCCGGGAGTCTCCTTGGGCTTGATGAGATACTCATCGCACGATAAATCAGCCCCTTTGCAGTCGCTGGTGTTCTCAGGCTCGTCTCCCATATCAACAGATGTCGTGAGGGTAGATTTCGACTCGGACTTATTTTTCCTCCCATCTTCGTCCACATCGACATCATCGTCGTCGTCGTCATCGTCATCCTCTTCGTCTTCCTCATCTTCATTGTCATCGTCATTATCAGTAAGGACGGAGTCAATGACACATCCCAAAGAATCACATGGTCGTCCAACGCCCGAACGCCGGATCAAGGCTTCTCGTGGCAAAGAATCATGTCCTCCGCAAGTAAATGTGCCGTTCAGTTGACAATCACACAGAGGATTGTTTCTTTCTTCATCCATCTCGCCGGAAGATGAGCAACCGTTACACTCGCCCCAATTCTTTTCCTTCGACTGCAAATAATCAATCATACGCCATGTAATACTTCACAAAATGCGAAAAATAAAGTTAACGCGACCCGAGAAGTCAAATGCGCAGTAAAGTAATATTTAATCCGAGGCTGAAGTACAATAAAGACTTCCACTCAAGTAAGAAATACTTCAGTGCAGTTGGTAAGGCTCGATTGGAATACGGAAAAACATTTTCTGCTCTTACATACATCATCACGCTACTGTAGTGAGTTTAGAAAAAAAAAACTCACTTTATCCGTAGGGACTTGTGGAGAGGCAATGCTAAGCGAAGAATTTTCACAATTCGACCCCTTCGCGCCCAGGTAAAGTAGAACATGTCCGCGAAGCTGCGAACAATCACGTGATCTGTTCTTTCGTTTACCGCATCTTCCAGCGGAGTTCCACCTACTCGAAGTTTCAGATTTCCCTGCAAGAGAAGAAAATGCAATGCCAAAATTAATTTAAACTCACTGAGCTTCAGAATTCAGCAGATATTAAATTCAACCACAAAATACATCTGCGAGCGAATGAAGCATGAATACGGCGAATTAAAACTTGAAGTTGAGCGAAACGGTAATTTGACACGAAAATAATCACCTGCAGTATTGTAAGGATGACAATCAACGCAATCCGAACAGCAGCTGAACTGGTCCCGACCAAGACCAAGACTTTCCACTGACCCGCAAATTATGTCCAGATCCATTTCATCTGAAACGAAGAAACAATTGACACTTGATCATCCAGATATCCGCAATAAAAAAAAAAAAGTTTCATAAAACTACATAGAGGAGGCTAGAAAAATATGACCAGATACTGTCGTTACGATCAGGATAGGGAAAATACTAAATTTGATTGTTCGATAGAATTTTTTAAATCCCGTCGGAACATTCAACGTCAAGATAAACAACAACATTTCCACAATACACAAGCGTACAGAAACAAGTACAGTACTGTACAAGAACTGAAGAATTTTCTCGAGCAAATTCATCAAAAGAAACATGTAATACCTTCGCTGTTTCCTTGGGAATGTATTCGAGAGTCCGTCACGATTCCGGACGTAGTGTTTGAGGAAGCTGAGGAAATGACAGACACGCGTTGATCATTGCCGTTGTTCCGGCTATTGCCACCGACGTTGTCATCCTTTTTCACGATGCCCAGCTTTTTCAAAGTGTCACACGGTACGAATTTGTCTCTAGTACCCGGTACCGCTGTTTCCGAAAGAAAATAACCGGTGAGTATTGAGAGGGGTTATTTTGAAATTCTCACTTTAAATCATAGCACCCGCATATTTAATGTCGAGTATCTGAACGGAAATGTCTCACAAAAACGTTTACGAGAACGGTAAAAAAAAATTAGCCAATACTGTAATTCTCTTCTTTGAAATTTGCAATTCAGCGATCCGTGCAAAGACCCACGGGAAAAATTTCCATCGATTTCCGAAGAACGGCAGCGATATTCACGCCAGCGCGAAGTCCAAGAAACTTATGAATCGATGTGAAATTTAATGCCTCGCATTTTTGCACGAGCGAACAATTCACAAGGCAGAGAGAAGAGCAGACCGATACGTACCAAGGAGGTGCGGAAAGCGTGCCTGAAGAGTCATGGAAAACTGGTGGGTTCGACGACAGTGTGAAAGCAGGAGGTTTGCCTTGCGCTCAGATTTTGCCCAATAGGTGTACCTACTACCATCATTTACCCGGACCTCGAACTTTCGTTTCTGCAAACAAAGGAAAAGTCAGGAAATCAGATAACGCGTAAATCACGTGGCGTAGGTTCTCTCACTGCTTTTTTCTTTTCCACACACCGGCAAAATTTTAGAAAAAAATGACTTATTCAGAAAATTACTTTTCAGAGAAAACAAATAGCGACTTTTCGCCACAACCCAATTTTGAACAGTGATAAGCGTTAAAAAATTGTTTTTTCAATATCGGCGTAAAAAGGCGTACAGTAACGAAGTAAATTTTCCTTCATTATTTTAGGTCATACATAAGTACGAGTATGGGTTGCAAAAATTTGACTTCTTTTCCTAAAAAAAAAAACTATCAGAAAGCTTGAGTTGATCGCCGTTGGAAAAAAAAATTCAACGCGATTCGGATAAAGCTCTCGAATTGAAAAAAAACATACTTGGATTAATTGGATAAGACGATATGTTCTCTCGAGGCGAGCATGAAAACTAACGAGCGGATCTACACCTGCTTGAAGCTATGTGACTGCATTTTAACAAGGTACACAATGTACAGTGCTTCACTCAGATAAGGAAGAGCACGAAACGAACCTCAAACGACAATTTGGCAATTGACGGCCACGTGAGTTGCGCGACAATGTCGCACTTATCCTTGTCGTTGAGCTCTTGCAGGATCGTCAAGCCATTGGTACTTAGACCAACGTGTACGATGGAGGCCGATGGTGGTTTCCCAGCCCACAGCTTGTACAGGGCCATGTTGTGCGGCGCTGGTGGCACGCTCGCTTCGTGCAAAAACTCCAACTGGGCCTGGCCCCGCGATAGTGTCGCCACAGAGCTGTCCTTGTGTATCTTCGGGATATTCTCGCGCACGTACTGGATACCAACTCGAGAAAGCACCTAGAATTGAAAGCTATGATTTAGACATCGTTCCTCAGGCATTCAAGCAGGAAAAACCCTTCTCGATGACCCAACTTTCGGGGCACTTAGAAATTTGTTCGTATTTTACACCACGCCTGGATATCTAAATACATTTCGTTCAGGATAATTTCAACTACGGGGTACTAACATGAACTGAATCCTAACGACGAGCCAAAATAGAAAGCAACAACCACAGGGGTCGACCAGTTCACCTCGACGTTCCTCAGCAGGATATTCTTTTAGCTGACCAAAAAAAAAAAAACACACACACACAACAGTGATACCTTGCGTGCAACGCCTATCTTCTGTCCTATCACAGGAAAATATCAGGGACGCTTCATACACGCATACTGAGACATTTTCTTCAAACATTTCTCTAAAAAGGCAATGATTGTGGCCAGAATGTAAAACACAGCGATTGTAGAACAACAATCAGCCAGAATACTTGCAGGATGAAATCATATTTACATGAATAATGCAACCGATCATACACAAATACGGACAGCCTGGATAATTACTCTATCAGAGGGGAATAAAGCGGCTCAAATAAAAGTTGATCGAACAGCTTTATTCCCCCTCAATCAACCGTATTTGGGTCGGCGATTGGATCCAAAAGAAATCGCATCTTGATTGATCGGAATTTTCCTACAAATTGAAGGACAATTGCGGATGGGAGAGGTGCAGTCGTTCAGGACCGGGAAGATGTCAAAAAATAGCGGTCAAAGCTTGAGGAAATTAAAAAGGAATATGGGGAAGCGATTTTTTAAATTACAGAAAAGCACTCACCTTTTGAGGGAAGTAGCAAGCAGGGTCAAAGAAATCGCTGCCTGCCGGACCTACGTCCGCCTGCAGCGCGTAGGCTGCAAGCAGGAAGTAGCGCGCCTCGTTGTTCCAACACCAATCGCCGATCGCCTGTCGCAGAACGTTTTTTCTCACTTGATGGTAGTAATGCTCGCGGACAACCCGGTCCCTTTAGGGATAGACAATTAAAAAACATTAAAAAATCTTTCTCGCGCTCCGATGGAAAATCAGTAAAGCTCCCAGTCGCCAAGTACCGAACAGCTGAGCAGGTAAACAAGCATTATTTTCTGATTATTCGAGCAATCTACGAAGGAAGACCCCTACGGACATGAGAGGATTGGTTTAGAAGTTCTATCCAAAAAAATTTTCACAGTAAAGCATTACTTTTCAGTGTCCTCTACTGCCTTCACGACCTTCAAATCAACGTTCCAGCTTATGAATCCATCAATCGAATTTATATTGAAAAGTTAGCACAACAGCATCACAAAATTTTTTGGGGACACAAACTTCAGTAAGGTCTTGAACATCATTTGACAATAACATAAACATTTGGGATAATTGATCAAAAAAATTCTGCTATAGCCATGTAGTTTTCTGATTTTGAGCATTGCTGCCCAGGAAATATTCGGTTGTTTGGATTACTCAATAGCTGTTGAAATCTCCTGAATTTCCCACTCTGTCTTCTCTTCAGTCCAATTTTCGTGGACAAAATTGAACAAAGGTCATCAGGTGATATATTTCTCTGAAAATTTGAGTACAGGGTATCTCCAATGACGGGAAGTGGAAGACCTGAAGAACTTCTGAGCCTTAGTAAAATGAGAAAATTACCCTTGATCCGCCGGCAGTAACGGTAATAAAACAAGCCCTTAAGAATGCCTTCCAGAATTCGGTAGTACAAAGCTTGAGAGAATAAAAAAAAAACGTAACCGATAGGAGACAAACCGTGATAAAAAATGCCAGTCCAAGTAGTACTGAATCCGCAAGTGGAGAGACAGCAACGGTTTCCCTTGCCCGTCCAACCCCTGCAGAGAATGGATCGGTATGGCAAACTTTATCAGCACGTCCTCACGTTCAACGGAATAAGGGCATGATAAGGACGAGGGAATAACTTACGTATCGACTCGAAGTCCTCCAACTTTTCGGCGCGTACTTTGCCAGTTTCGCGTCGTTTTCTAGAAACATGTACTCGTTTTCCAGGTGTATCGCGAGTCCGAAAGGATTCGGGTCGGGATGGCCTAGGAATCGGCACATTTGATCCCACACGTCTCCTACCCTACCTTTCACCTACAAAAAGAAAACATTTCAAAATTAAAACCCATCGGAAGCCGATAGCTTAAAAAATCGCTTATGAAAAAATGCATCGAAACAATGATTCCTATTCAACAAAGGCAACATTTCCCACATTCAAGTCTTACGCACTCGGTTTCGAAGGTAGCATAACACCAAACATTTCATCATCGCATTCAGCAATAGGAGAACAAATCCATCAGATTCTACAATCATGGACTTGCAAAATGCACCTGAGCCAGGTTATTCCACAGAATAAATACCAAAGGAGCAAGTGCCAAAGGGGCACGTACACAAAGGTCAAGGATCATTCAACAAAACATGTTGTTTGTACTTAGTACAGTATTTTTCTGCGACATTATTCTTGGAGAAGGTATGTGAAAAAAAGAGCAAGTACGGTACCAAAAAATATAAAACGCCGAATGCACAAATTTTGCGCTTTACTCCTACGTATGAAGTGGACGACGTAGTGACAATTTCTCGGGATACGGACCCTTTGGCAACATCTCTAGACAAATGAGAAAATTTCTATTTTTTTAACATTGAATAAATTTGAGCTTTTCATGCAGTATTAACAAAAATTAAAAATGTGATAAAGAATTCAATATAATTCATAATCCAAAACAGGTTAATTTTAAGCTCCTTTCTTCAGAGATCTTCCCATCATCTGAGAACAGCATAAGCAAACTTGAGCTTATTCTCTGCTTCTCGGGCTTTTATCATGCCGAAAGATCAAGATTATGAATGCTTTTTTTCTGCACTGTTACTTTCTGTATCTTCAAGTTATGAAAAAAATATATAGCTCAATTCTTTTGGAGGCATTTTTTCTAATTTTTGATCAACAAGAGAACCAAATAAATATCAACAAGAGAACCAGTACATGAGTACTGTACACCCAGCCATTCAAAACGAGAGTTATATTTATTCCCACTGAATTCTCAAGGAAAAAAGTGATTCGACATGCAGACGGTGCAACATAGGAGCAATGAAGGTTAAAGCACCGATTACATGTGCATATCGGGGCCCAACTTTTATACCACACCGAACGAAAGAATTTTGCGCTTCACATCTGTGTGCACTTGATTTTATGAGATTCGGTCTCCTGATGTAGAACTATTCAGCTCGGACTTCCGCACAAGGAGCTGGGAGAGGAGAAAGAACTCCCAGGTTCAAGATTAATTTTAGGAAGAGGAATGCGAGGTTTCTGGAACAAGTGGTAAAAGGGACTGGAGGCGGCATCAGAAGGGTGGATGCCACGCGGTCGGACATCACAATCGGCGGCTGTCGGACAGGACATGAGTTCTGTACACCCAGCCATTCAAATCGAGAGTTCGGCGGACATCGGGAAAACCGGTCTCGGAAAACAACGGCGCCGGCCACCGACAACTACACGGCATTCACAAACAGAATCCATTCCTTTTTCGGGTGCCCGGACCTGCGATGGCAGCGCACGATATGTCATCATCCGACGATCTTCATTGCGAGAACCCTGAAGAGGCCCTTCGCGGTTTTAGCCCCGAACCCGAGCTTCCTCTAGCAAAATCCCTTCCCGTCTTAGAGGAATCGGACCAAGCGCGGAAAATATTGAAAACTCGCAAGATACAAAATCAACTTGCTCACGCGGACACAGCTCGAAATCTATTCAAACACAGGAGAAATGATGGGCCAGGAAGTGATCAAGTACTCTTTACAAATTACGTCCATGTCAATCCATCCAATGGGACTCCAACGAGAGAAGAACAATACTGACGAAACCCATGAAACAATCCCAGAGCGTTAGGTCGATTTTTCTGCCTCTTCAGTATCTACATTGATCATTAATAACCAAGGAAATTTACGATTTAAAAATGAATTGAATACTCCTCCGAACTTCACGAATTCCACAACGAAAAACCTAAGAATTATCCGCCTAATTCATAGATCACCAATCCGGAAGAACTTACGATTCTGAACCAAACCACTGAGAGGAAAGAGGGATATCAGAAAAACATCCCCAGAAAACAGACTCTTCACCCCCAAAGTGAAATAGCGATAAATCTCACCATGGCGAAGCCTGAGTCCGGTTCACTGGGCTGATATCAAATACGAAAATGTAACATGATATTCGGCAAACACTCGCATTACATTCCATCGATCATAAAGAAACTCCGATCACTCCAATTTTCGTTCACTTGAGACACCCGCGTTGATGCACAGATGGAAGACCTCTTCCAATTTTACAGTTCGGCATTTTCTTTATCCCCACCACTCAACTCATTCACCAATGCTGAGGGAAGTGAAAACCTTACTATAGCTTCGAACGTAAACAACTACTTCAAATACTACAGTATTATCAATCGGAAAACGTCACTCTGAAAATGAAAAACATCCTCCTGCAACAGAATTCTAGAAAAATCAACCAAAATTAGTAAATTTCAGCGAACTGGAGTCAAAATCCTTTTTTCAAATCGGAAAAATGTTACCAAGAGAGCGAAACTGCGCGATCATATCACAAAAGCAATAATCAATGGCTAACAATGCTCACAAATAATAAAGAAGTGTGAATTCCACGCCAATGATTTTTGTAAAATTTGCATTCAATTATTACAGATGATCAGAATACAGTATATAAAAGTACCTGTAGTTGCTTCAAATTTAATATACAGTAATCCACTCTTCTAATTCAAATATCTTCCGTGAAAGAATTCCACGGAATATATGTATAAACACTGATACAGTACTGAATAAAAGTACTGTAGTTCTGAACAATATTACTGTACTGCATATCCATGAAATCTGAGAAAAGTCTCAGCATCAAGAGAGCAAAAATGCTTCCCCTTGAGAGCTTCAGAAGTCACGGTACGGAAAATCATTCGGGGTTGTACTCAACTTCGATCGAAATCAACCTCGTCATAAGTATCTGCTAAAACTCGGGATTTTTCAACATTAATTGGACGGAAGTTTTCTAAGATTTAGATAGAATTGGTTTTCTCGAAATAATACTGTACACACCAAACTGTCCATTTTTTCCCACACTAACTTACTCGACGGAAATTTTTTAAAACCCTGTCCGTTTCACTTCGAGGCGGCCCTAGGGCAGACGGAAAGCATGCCTGCCTTCCTTGTGGAAAATATACATTAGTCCTGGCGATTCCACCCTCCAAGTTGTCGGCAGTAGACGACATCATTAGCGGTAATAGGGTACAGGCTACAAGGCTACTGTTTATGATGCGTAATAATTGAGGAGAGGATACGACGGAAATAAAATGGAAACGGAAAGACGCATCAGCGAAATATTGGAAATACGGCAACCAGAAAATCAATTCTTCTCGTAATGGCAACCAACAGATCAAGACCCATTCATCTTTTCGAAAGAGAGGTAAGAACATACAGCTCGTCATCTGGAAATGGGGGTCCCGCACTTCCACAGTTGTCTAGGCAGGGTGAAACTATATTTTGAGTTGAAAGCCACAGCTAGGGGCCTGGTGCGGTCGCCCCTATCGCCCACTCTCAGGGCCGCCTCTGTCACTTTCACTTCAAAAAGACTCGAAATGGAAAAACGAAGCCATATGATCCAACGTTTCACCAAGAAATCCTCGGACCAGATTCATAGATCCCCCTGTTTTTATTGATACGTCAACGTCGATGGTAATAGGCCGTATCCCCGCGACAAAAAGCGCATTGTCACTTTCCTTAAGTAGCAATGAACGACAGAGGCTCTCGCAGAAAGAAATACTGTACATTCTCTGCGGGATAATTTCTTTTACTTTTTTTCAAGCACTGGACACATTAGCGAGTTCTCGGGTTCCGGCTGTGCAAACAGAGCAGGAGTTCGAGCCTCGTTAAGTCGCCGTCAGCGTCAAAGGCCCGTCTACGTCTGTGAGCCGCTAACCCCGCGGGTACTACACCGAGGTGCGAAGGCGTAGGTGTTCCAGAACGATCAGCCAAGTGCTCGCGAAACGGATGTGTCCAGCATCAGTTGCTCCTAGATGTCTTGGCGGAAGTGCATCGTGCAGAAATCACACACACTTGCCCCGGCTCTCTCTATCTCTCTCGCACGCTTGGCTTTGCCAAAGATGCAGAATTGCCGGGAAAAATAAACTTCCCAGAGGCCACTCGGTGCAATGGGTATCAAGCACTGGTCTATCTTTGAATTCCTAATAGTGAACCAGTGACACAATAGCACGATTGGCGAAATCTTGGAACTTATTGAAAAAGAAATGGCGGAAAAATGCCACTGCGTTTCTCCGGCGTCTTCAAGTCAGTTCTCACTACAGTCGAAAACGCACTGGAAAAAAATCCGCGACATTTCTCAGTACTACTTCAGAGCTTCGAATCGCGTTTTAGGAGCCTAAAGCAATCCAGAAACAGTACTTTTCTGAGATTCATGTTCATGTCCCAGGAATGGACAATCTTCCAGTGGATAAATTGACTCTTATCACGAGAGCAAGAATTTGGAAGCTGTTTTCATAGAAGGCGATGAACATTTCGAAACGATCACGGAGAATCCTGCACTAGCTCGTTACACACGAACCGTTACGCAAGAAAAGTACTGTATGTCGCTTTTTCCACTTTATATCGTTCTGGAAAATTCCACATGAAGTATCCATTCTGTAATTCCAATAAAAAACGAACTCATGTTTTTTTCATCCATGCGTTAAATTGACATCCACGGTGTTTGGTTTTTTAGGTAACTTGTACTACAGTACAGTACAACTCTAGAGTGAACTGTTGAAACAAACCAGACACATAAACTGGTATGGACGCAAGTCTGATTACGCGAGATCGTAATTACACAAATAAAGCACGATGAAGGTATCACCGCAAAGAATATGTATTCATCAAGATTCTAATGACACTGAAATATGGTCGTAAAATTCAAAACTCGGCCTATATGCACCATTCGGCCTTCAGTGTAGCGTTCGTTATGTGACCCCAAGGCTGGAAAATGTAAGAATGAAGTTATTTCTCAATTTTCATCCGGAAACCTGGAATCTATTTTTTTCTACACTTGAAAACAATAAAAAAGCGCAACATTCGAAAACACATAAATGCTTAATTTGCGGGAATCAGCTGCGATGAAATGAATGAACTAGTGCTACTCAAAAGCCAAAGAAAGTTTCCCCGGAAACGATAGAAGTTGCAAATGTTTCCAATTCAAGCGATCCTATTCACATTCGAGAAATGGTGGAAACCGTTCGGCAAAAATCACTGAAGCAACTGAGATATCACATTTCATGGCATCATCATACATACCAACATTGACTGAACTTAGAAATAAATAGTGATGAAATCCGAAACCGTCTTCGCGCTGTTTCGAAATAAAACGATGCTTTTGAAACCGCAAATCTTCGAATGACATTTCAGGGAATACATTTTCTGCTGACGGTTAAATCATCAGGCCGAGGAAAAGCAAGAGCTTTACAGTATTTCAAGTACTGCACTGTAATCATTGATTTGCCAGTCCGACAAATAATTGAACGATCGGCACGTGGGAAAAGGTCGAGGAACACGTATCAGTGCTCTCGGTCTTCTCTGGCCAGCGAAAATGCAAAACCACGTAAATATAAAAAAGACGCATCAAATATTGCTGACCAGCATCAGCCCACAGAGTAACATAAAACTGTCTCATTTTCACCCAACACAGCATCTAGAATTGGAAATAATTTTTTAATCCGCGACCGTGGAATTTCATTCACGAAATTTCACGGATTTTAACGCACTAGATTCTGAAGAACACAACCAAAAAGCTCAACGATGGAAACAAGTAGGAACTGACCTGGACGATGCAGTACAGCGTGTGAGCAGGGCCGGGAAGCAGAGTGAGTGCTACGTAGCGATAAGGCGGCAACAGAGGCGCCGAGCAAGTCCGGGCCAGGCCGGTTTCGGCCGCCGGGTGCGGCGACGACGGCAGCGGCGGCGGTGGCGGCGGCGAAGGTGGAGACGGATCCATTTGCCCGCTCTTGGCGTCGAAGTGGTTGCGGCCCATTGACACGTGAGGGGGGGAAAAGGCACTGCACGCGAACACAAATCACATCTCGCCACAACCTGCACGTCCGATAAGGAGCAAAAGGTGCGAAAGGTTTGTCAGGTCTCGCATCGCTACGAACCACGGCGAATCCCCGACGCGGCACGCATGATCACACAAAAAATGCCACCTTCATCCGCGGCATTCGAAAAATCTTCAATACTCACGGCAACGGAACGTAAAGAAAAAAAGAACTATGGAAACCCTGCAGAAAAAAAAAATAAAATCGATCAGTATTTCCAGTCGGTCGGATGACAAAATCCGCCAAGAATGCATTACGTGGAAAAGGGAAAAGAATTCCACGTATTTTCCGTCACTGAAAAAAATCGGGGGTTACGGCTCAAACGCATAAGTTCGTGAATTTACTCCACGTAGTGTTCGAGAAATTACTGTGCTGTGGAAGATTCAACACAGTGGAATGTTTTTGACATGCATCATCAAAGCTAGGATTTATTGAAGTAAAATCTCGTTATAACGCCGCTGTCGGGACGATAAAAAATGCTTATATACAATAATAAATTCGTTGAAGACGATTTGAATGGCATAGAATCTATTGAGCAGGGAACTACATAACAAATTGATGTTGACAAATAATTCGTTATAACGAGATTCGAAGTAATGCGATTCTACTGTGCATGGGTGCAACGAAATTCACTGGAAATACTGTAATGACAACAAAAGAATTCTGGTCAAATTGAAACAAAGCATCACCACCGCAGTGGATATACAGTAGTTCATATCTTTGAAACGTTACCAGGAGCATAAAAAAATATCTCGCCAGGCAGTAAATTTGAGGAACACCAATGCTTGAATAAGATCTTAGGACCAACCCGAAATATGGCAGCTGAGGTTCAGTGCTCCATGGATCAAAAACTCAAGAAAGACGTAAAAAACAAAACCACGATTAACCCTTCGCGAAGTAAATCACTGCATCAGCTAAAATTCACACATCAGCTCGAATTCACACCAAGGTGTGCATAACGGCGAAGTTACGGGTTCTCGACGGCGACCAACGGACCGTCACGTCGACACTTCCTGTCACCGGAATCTCAACACTATTCAGAAGAGAACCAGCACGTCGATCAAACTACATTCCTTAAAAAAATAGTGCTTCCTTTTCTCTTAATAAATTTGAGACCATACGATACAGACGGAGGCTTTCTACCACTATATTCAGAAGATAAAGCGAATTTCAAAAACATACAATATTTTATTTAACCATGCTGTATGCTCTTGGTCTGTCCATAAATAATAATGAGTAGGAGCATGTGCTTTACGTGAGAATTGAGACTGGATGTTAAAAGGGTTCATTTTGGAAGAAATACAGTATTTTCTTTTCCGCAAGGCGACATTGATTGCAATTCACGTATTTCCGGAATTTATCTCAATTGAAATCAAGAAACCTGGAAAAAAAGAAAGAAAAAAAAGAACATAAGATGAAAAGTTCCCCCGTTTCAATGGAGGGAAAATGCGACCGCGAATTTCAACTCCGGATACTGGAGCCAGAGGGATTTTATGCGCGAAGAATGTGGAGGGAATCCACCAATATTTCAAGAGCTGATACCTCGCCATTACCGTCACATCCGTGAAAAAGATAGGACCCTAAAATGGCACGAATGAATGTCAGGAATTCCCGGACAGATTCCCCCTTTTCCCGCAAACGGCTGACAGGGAAATTCGACTGCGAAGACGGATGGTGAAACGTCAGAACTCAAGCGCGGGGCCATCAAATATCGATCCGACACAAACCCCGAAAAAAAAAACATCAAAAATGCAGCAAAACGGTCATTCATTCCGAACCACAACGCGGGTGCGAACATAACGAGAAATGGCGAAGGAAGCTGAATCCCAAAGCGGCGAGACACGCGGAGCGTGATAGTACTGGAGGCCGCTTAAATTTTACGGCGCTCGGGAGAACCCAACGGTCGTAATCCACCGCGATAATCGTCGCATTTTTGCTAGCTCTCCCTCTCAGGACCAGATACCGTTTTCTTTTTCCCCCCTCGACAGGACGTTTACCATTCACGGAATTCCAAGCAGCCCATTACCACGCCGTTTATCCGCCGCATTCCGCGCGGAATGTGAGCGGCTCTGGCTCAGTCCGCGGTACGCCGCTCCGGCGAAACAAAGACATTCATCCAGGGATGGGAGATCGAGAACACGAGCACATTCGGATACCCTCCATCGGATTTCGCCGGGAAAGCTGGGAAATATTTGCCGAGCTTTCATCCATTTGCCTCGGCGTGGGAATGCCGGAAAACGAACATCCAGGGTCTCCGACGTCCGACAGAACGTGAGCAAATACGTGCGAACAAATCCCGGAATCACCCGCTCTGATTCATTCGGCTTTGCGAAATCGACGACAAATTTGCAGTCGGCGCAGAAATAAACCTGAGTCGAATGCACACAAATTGCGAAACTGAAGCTCTGAGGGAACTCGGGAAACGTGCGATGCAATTTACTATAATCCGCGTCAAGACAGAAAGTGACATCTCGCCGCAACAAAACAATTCCGTGCTACTCTTCAAACGCGACTGACCTTGCTACAACCACTTCTAGTACATGGCCGACCCAAGACTGACGGTTGTTCGCGAAGTAAACTAAAAAAAAAAAAAGAACATAAAAAACATTCAGTCATGAAGAACTTACAGTAACTTTATGATTTCATCCCAAGGATAGCGTTCAGTATAAAATTCTTGAAACTTCACGGCCGTGTGGGAACAAAATCCCAGCAGTATTTGTGGAGAAGATTTGGCAACATGAGAAAAGCCGAAGATGATAAACCGACATTATGGTTTAATGTCGACTCATCATCAACGTGATTCTGCATGAGAATTACGGGAAAAAGAAAAAAATGCCAGGGGTTCAACGAAACGAAGGGCAAGCACACGAGAATAAATTAAATTTCTGATTCATCTAGCTTTAAAAAAGGTCAATACAGTACCTTGTTTACCAAAAATATTACAACTTTCGACAATGAAGAAGCGACCAGGAGACCCAACCAGTACTGTACTGCATCTGACGCATGACCACATGAGGCAGCAAAATGAATTAGGATTAAAATTTATGGTGAGTTTATCACAGTATCTCTTTAGATCGGCGTAGGACAGACGGTCAATCAAAAGGTCTGACAAATGCGCGCAAGAAAATCTAGGAATTATCCGGGTTTAAATATTCATGTTCACAAAATCGATGAAAAATACTCAATCCTTGCAAAAGCGAACGAAGGAAATTCTCGACACCGGAAGAGAGGCTTTAAGAAAACAAAATGACTCCTGATCTTGCAGAACACTTCAAATAAACACCCATCAGATATCCCAACAGTCAGGGGGATCGATGGCAATCGCTTTTACACGGGAAGCGTGAATATTTTCCAGCAATTCATGAAAATTCACGAAAGCATTTCCGCTGTAATTTTTTCCCCTCCAATAAGTCGAAGAAAGGTGGCCTGCCAAGATTCCACAGAGATACGGCCCCGCCGGGTGGCTGGAGATTTAAAAGATATGCCGAAGAGCAATTTCTGGGGGTTTTTTAAACCTCGCCGTAGGGGCCATACAATGTTATCTCGGGGCCTGACGCACCTGCGCACCCGTGAAGTCATTCGAGTGTCAGGGCCACGTCAACAAAGCCAATCGCGTAAAAATCGCGGGGAGCTCAGCCTACGTTGCCATGTTCTCTCGCGGCAAGAATGTGAGAGTTATCCTTGAAAAAAAGGTACGAGGGCAAATGTAGGTTCCCAAAGCATCCTTTCGCGCTGAGAGGCATAAATTCGCCCATATTTACCGGTTTCCCTCAGCTGGAATTCGGGCTTTGCACACTGAAATTAAAGCGAAGCAAAGCGAGGTGTGGAGGCGACCGTTACTGTTCCTTCATCGCCCCGGAATCCGCACTTGTTCCCTAAAACCCGAACACAATACGACTCACAACCACATGAAGGAAAACGCCGGCCCAGCGAATTCTTCACACTAAGTTTGGAAAAAATTCTCATAGGTACGAAGGAATTCCAACAATCTCCAGGTCGCTGGGTACGCACCTCAGGTCTTGCGCATATCGAAAATTAGCCAGAGGCATTTTACACGTCGCTATCTCATGACACTCAATTAATATTGCACGAATTACATCCCGTCAAACAACGAATTCATTCGAAAATAATCTACGCTTCCCCATTTTAAATGTTATTCTAAAAAATGGTGCACCCATTGACACCAGTACTTTCCTGACTCATCTAAAATTAGGCAAAAAATGAAGGCAAAAACTCCAAAGAATGATCTGAACAAAATTACAGAAGACTTTGAAATCTAAGACTAATTGATACAAAGTATTCATGAACTGAAAATGAATGGAAGGAGTTATACTATTCAACTTCAGATTTAATTTTTACGCCACAACTTAAATCGATTAGAAGCAATTACACCTTTCATCCACGAATCTGGAACACCAAAATATTTGAAACGCACCCTGATATTTCAACAGAATAAAAATGATCTCACATTGCGACTAAATACGGAATGTGGGAGTTTCTTGTGGAACTCTACCCAAAAATTCCATTTAAATGCTCGAAAAATGCCACGCTGAAATTACCCGAGAAGATAGACACCAAACATCGAAATCGATCAGCACAAAGCTATTAATGCGGCTGACCCAGTCGAACATTTAGCTCAAAATTGAGGCTATATTCGAAATGTTTTGTAAAATTAAAAGGATAAATTCAAATTCCCGCAAGAGAAGATTCATTTCGCACGCGGGAAAAAAAATCCCTGGCGGAAATGATACAATAATGAGGACATCACAAAATAAGGTATCAATCCGAACTCAGCTCACAGTGCGACACTTGTGGTCTATCACGTCCCGCGGACGAATAGTGAACTGGGCGTCACGTCGCGACAGCACGAGCCGGGCTTCGACGTCGTAATCTTCAAGGCGTGGAGAGAAGAGGTAGGCGTGCGGTATCGCAATACAAAAACCCAAGCGTCTATTGCGCCACCCGCGGCAAGTCTTTAAATTCCTCGTTGACCCCGGGTTCA